CAAGAATTGTAATTACTATTGCTCGTACTTGTGGCAAGGGATTTGAACAAATCCCCGCCCTTAGCATTGAATACTTAGGACCATGTGATATTTCAGTTTTTCTTTTTTAATAAATCTGCAAAAATGTCAACAATTCTGTGTTTTTCGGTCAATATGGTGTGCTGTGTGTACATTAATGAGGAAAAAAAATGAACTTAAATGATTTTAGCAAATGGCTGCAATATAACAAAGAGTGAAAAATTTAAGGGGGTCTGAATACTTTCCGTACCCACTGTATGTAACTCATCCCACATTATTTGTGCTACAACATGAACGATACCTCAAATCAATTGACTTTTGAGAATTCTATTATCTTCATAAGTGAAAACCTTTATGGCATGGTAAACATTAGAATCAGATTATCATCAGAGCTTCTTATTATAATTAAAACGTTTCTTGTTATCGTTGTTTAAAAACAGTTGTGCTGCTAAATATTTTTGTGGAAACTGTGACGTTTTTTTGATTCTGCAGAGAAAGTTCAAAAGAACAGCATTTACTTTAAAGCTAAATCTTTTGTAACATTATACGTGTTTTTACTGTCACTTTTGAATATATTTGATGTGTCCTTGCTGAATAAAAGTATTCATTTCTTGAAAAAAAAAATCTCACTGACTCCAAAATCTAGTTAAAAAAACAATAAAGTCTTGCTTTTTCCATTTGCCTAATTTCTTATGCATGTTCCTTCTTTAAGAATTAGGCTAACTGCAGAGCTTTTACAACATTGAGTATATAACAGTGCTAATCTATGGGCCACCCTACACCGACAGCCATGGTCAAGATGAAGTGAGCTATCCGTTTCCTTTCTCCCACCTCCTATATTGGAGCCTTAAGCTATCCAGCTAAAGTCAGGTGTTACGGATCAATGATGAATGAAAAATAAGGTCAAAAAGGTCAACTAAAACAGCCCGAGCCTGTGAAAAGCAGTTTTTTCTTGTCTGTTTTTAAAGGAGTAAGTCTCTTCTTTCTCACGTAACACCCTTGAGGCTCCATCTAGTCCTGTGAGTTTGCTAAAGCCCAGCAGAGCAAGTTAAGAAGACAAAGAACCAGAACCGGCACTATGCACTGTGCAAAAAGATTCTTCTGGAACAAATCGGATAACGTTGCCGCTTCCTTGTTTCTTATGTCCTTATGTCCAAAGTACATACTTGTACTTTGAAGTTGGAAAGAATGAGAGTATTCTTGAAATGTTTGCAACCTGAATAAACACCACATCTTAAGATTTCTTAACCAGCTAGGTATAATCTCAAAGTTCAAGGGCTCAAGTTTAATCGGATCGAGTTTTCAACGACAGGAGCCTCCCTGTTCTGGCAGGAGTAAACTTTGGCCAGGGAGTGTCTTTCTAGCTCTCTTTCTTCATTCACACACCACACCTGCCTGCCCTCAGTAACGATGAGATCACTTGGCTACTGATAACATTACAGGTCATTTCAGGCAAGCCAATTCTTTATTGCACTTAACTAGTGGATTTTGCCGATACCGATAGCTAGGTTGGACCACACTGGCCGATACCGATTAATTAAACGATAGTTTTAAAATTGATACTGAACAAATACTAAAATAGTGCTTTATTAACAGTATTATATATTAATAATATATAAAACAGTACTGAACCATACTAGTAGTAGTAATAAAAAGAATAAATAATAGTAAATGTTGAAATTAACGCACTCTAACAAGGAGCAATACTTACAAAGCTTTCATTAATCTTAATGCTACAAATGAACTCTTATTTTAAAGTGTTACCATTTCATTTCAACTGTCATGCTTAAAGATGCACATCTTTAAATATATACACAAAGGCTATAGCATTAAAATTATATACATATGGTAGGGGTGTAACGGTACACAAATATGACAGTTCGGTACTTACCTCGGTTTTAATGTCACGGTTCGGTATGATTTCGGTACAGCAGGGGGGAAAACTAAACTTTTTTTATGGTTTACTGAACAAGTTGCTCTTTCTTTAGATACATTCAGTTATAGTTAAAATTTTCTTAGTGATAAAAATCTTATCAGCTTATGCTTAAAACTATAGGGAGACCTTTTACATTATAAGGTTACAATTAGGCATAACAACTTAACCTAAACTTAAATTTAATTTTTATTTATTTTTAAATAGATGATCAACACTCAACTTAAAAAAAATAAAAAAAATTATGCAAACATGTAAATTGCACATAATGCAGTTTTTAAATTAACTTATAAATAATACAATTTCTAAGTTATTTGTTTCATAACAGATTAATTTAAACATACTGTACATTAAGTAATTAAGACTAACAGGTTTAGTAAAATATAATGAGTATATGGTGTAATATTTCGCAAAATGCTCCTCTCTAGACTTAATTTCTCTAGTGAACTAACGAGCTGTGTTTTATTTCCACACTGTATTGTTGATGTCTTTCCGAGGTTGAAACACTGATTGAGCAATTACATGAGGCATGAGATGTTCAGTCATGTTTATTCGCATTAAAACTAGTAGTACAGAGGAAGGAATGATCGAGTTCACTCGTGCTCTGCTCTGCACAAATCAGCGGGGCGTCACGACTCAGACACGGGAACCAGCACGTTTCTGAACCGTCCCAGAAGCGGCTCTCTAAGGCGTTTATACAGCGATCTGTCGTGCCACATAAAAGACGGTCAAACGCCATTTATTATTTGAATTTCCTGAGAAGAAGAAGAAGAAGAAGAAAAAAAAACTGTATTCGTGCGGTACACATGCATACCGAACCGAAAGACCCGTACCGAAATGGTTCGGTATGAATACGTGTACCGTTACACCCCTAACATATGGATATTGTATGTATACTCTCACACTTTAACTGCTTCTATTCTTGAACACTTGATGATTATCTAATCAAAATAAAAGTGCAGCGCTGAGTCTAGGAGAACTCACCGGTATCACACACACTCCGGACGCGTCGCGTTCAACTCGAGCAGCGGTCTAAAACAGTTTATTTAATCACCAAGCGGACACAAATTTACTTCAAGAATGAACAATTTGGCATGGATGAGTTTGAAGTTCGGTGTTTAAAAAACGGAGCAAACGGAAAGAGAAAGCGCGACCTATATTATAGCTCTATAAATGAAGCACACAGACTTTATTAGAGCCACAGAAAGACAAAGTTTTGCTGAAAATAAATACACAATTCATTATGTATATTAACAACGATTCGGGACCAATATAATGTAATTTAAAGGAAATTTTCTGTCAACTGCATTTAAATCCGCGTCTGAAGTTTCCCGCTCTGTTCAGCGTGCAGTATCACGTGTCTAAACAAATAGCACGTGCTGTCTGTGATTTCAACCATTAGAGGCTGCTCTCGCACTGTGTAATGACAGCAAAACCTTCTCAGCCGCTCCAGCAATGGACGCAACCTGGAAAACTATCGGCATGGATTTTTGTCGATAACCAATAGTTCCAGAAATCAACTATCGGTGCCGATTAATCTGCAAAACTGATACATCGGTCGACCTCTACACTTAACCAAGCATTCGCTTTATTCAGTATGATACAATAAAATATAAGTAAGATACAATAAAATCTAATGAATCATTCTGCAGCATAAATTACGCCACACTACCATGCATGGCCTGGATAAACATAGAGATCACAGTCCAAGTTCTTCTTTTGCTTTTTTACTCTCTCGCCATCATATGTGATGGATTCAAGTGCTCTTTGTATGCAGACCTGCTGTTTGCTGACTGACGGCCTCCACCTCTTCTTCCTCCCCCATCTCATTCCTTTATGGCAGTGAAACAGAGAGTTTTGCCCGACTGAATAGGCAGACTGTTGACACAGCTGACAGAAATGCAGCACACATGTGAAATGTCCCTAATGTTAATGATTGCTAGGTAGAGCACTGAACAGGTGACTCTGGCTCTAAGCAAGCAAGTTTAATAAAGGCATTCTACACTTAGAGGACCAATAAGACAATCTATAGGAGGTATTAGGTTCCCACTTAAATCTATCAAAGCCACTTATCTGCTTCTAAGGCTGCCATTATCATAGACAAATCATGATGGGTATAGGATGTTGCGGCTGTGAAATGTAGAAATGCTATTTAAAGGTCTACTTTAGGTTTTACAAGAAACATACAGTATGTGTGAAGTGGTTTGCACTCATTTGGGATGAAAACTTGCCAAATGCCAATTTATTTTGTTGTGTGAAAATGTTTGTGTGATGTTGCATCCTGCGAATGACTAGGAGTGCCACTAAAAATGTAAATAGATTAATCAGTTTTAAAATTGACAAACAAGTACATTTAAAACTCTTTATTTCATGTTTAAACATATTTAAATGTAACAATCACTTTTAATAGTTGACAAAATAATTTTTTATTTTAAATTAATTTAAAGTAGTTAAATGTAACAACAAAATACATTAATAATCACTACATTAATTACTACAATATTAGGCTGCTTTTAAATAAAAGGTAACACTTTATTTTAAGGTGTAATTGTTACACTGTAATTATACATTTAAGTACTGAGTAATATTAATTAAGTACATGTACTTAGTATATGGTTGGGTTTAGGATTAGGATTTGGCTTAGGGTTACTTGCATGTAATTATGCATATTTTATTGTTATTATAATAGTAAGTACATGTAATGTGTAACAAGGACACCTTAAAATAAAGTGTTACCAAATAAAATAATAATAAAAAAAACATTGCTTTATTTTAGGTTACACTTTATTTTGTTGTCCTTGTTACAGTGTAATTATACGTTTACGTATTGAGTAATATAGTATTGCTATTACTATAGTAAGTACATGTAACGTGTAACAAGGACACTGTAAAATATAGTGTTAACTTATTTTATTGGTGATTAGTTTCTTCATTTTACTTTTAAATGGCACTCCTAGACATACATAGCATACATAGGTGTAACTTTAAAGAAAAATGCCAGTTGATGTGTCTTAGAGATGACCCTATGATTTCTTCATGTTCTCCTCAGGTGTGATCCGGACACAGGAACTGCTGGACCATGAGACCATACCTCACTACTGGCTGACGGTCTATGCTACTGATCGTGGTGTGGTTCCGCTGTCTTCCTTCGTCGAGGTCTACATCGAAGTCCAGGATGTCAACGATAATGCCCCACAGACCTCCGAACCTGTCTATTATCCATCCGTCATGGAGAACTCACCCAAAGATGTCTCCATCATCCAGATTGAGGCATTTGACCCAGACACCAAATCTAGTGAAAAGCTGTCCTATAAGATCACTAGCGGGAACCCCCAGGGTTTCTTTAGCATCAACCCTAAGACTGGTAAGTGTTTCAAAGAGCTTTGTTTTCATCTTACTGTTCTTCTAGCAGTCGATTTGAAGATGCAGAGGTTGACCGGAATAGACTGAGAGTTTGAAGTAACCGAATTTATCAAATGTGGGTTCAGCTGGACATAAGGCAGATTTATTTTAAAAGATTTCATTGTTTACTTTAAAAGTTTCGGCACACATATTGGGCAACTACTTCACTTATATCTTATAAATGTTGTACAGCGCTGATAAATTAATTTATATACCAGCGTACATTTTGAAAAACCTGAAATTTCAGTTTCAAAAGTAACTTTTTTTGCAAGAAATTAATACTTTTATTCAGCAAAGACACATTAAATTAATTAAAAGTGGCACTAAAGACATGTATTATAATGATGCATTAACCTTCTATTTCTCAAAGAATCTTGAAGAAAAAAGTAAAAAAAATAAAAATAAAATTCTCTGAAAATTCAGTTTTGCCATCTCCGAAATGAATTACATTTTAAAAGAATATTGAAATGGAAAACGGTTATTTTAAATTGCAATGATATTTCACAGTATTTCTGTTTTTACTGTATTTTGATCAAATAAATGCGACCTTGGTGAACATTTCAAAAACGGTTGTTCGTATGGTAACTAACAGCAATTCTGTTAATTATTTGTTCAGCTGACACACAACTCAGTGATTCATTTCCTAGTTAAGCATGGTTTGCAGATCCTGTTCGAAAGGGCCTTTTCATGTCACGTTGACCTATATCAGTACAGTGAAAATGGTCCATCAGAGAAGACATCCATCTACAGGTGCATACAAATAGTAAGAGATAGGGTAGCTGTGTCCTAATGCTCTTCTGAGATTCTTTGAGTGCCATCAGTCCCAAACCTCTGTTTTTTTTTAATGTAAATCTACTGAAGCATAAGGCTCAGTGAGTAAGTGTCTGAAGGCACATTCAGCTGCTCTCGGATCTACTCTGTGTTCTTGTTTTCTCAACATGTCTCTCTCTCTGTCGCTTTCCTCTCTTTCTCACTCTCTTCATGGATCACTGTGTACGCATATGGGGTTTGCTAAATGGACCCACACTGAATATTTTATACAGCTATGGTTCCCCCTCCTCGTCCTCTTCTCCCCCATAGAGTAGAACATGATTTTGCAGGCATACCGAGGAGAATAGGCGTAAAAAGGTGCAAACAGCAGATCCAGAGGCCCGGCAGCTGTAGAAAACCTTAAAATGAATCACTCTTCAATTTCAGGACTTTTCAGAAACATGTTAGGTCAGATTACCTAGCGCCTGCAAAATCTTCACCATTGTTGTCTGAACATGTTTTAGTGCTAAGAACAAATAACTTGTAAAGCTTAACTGAGGAAGACAGTGATAGCTAGCGGCTACAGTTCTATTGCTCCCACAATGTTTTAGATAAAAATACATAAACGAGCCAAACATTAAGACACACTACCGTTCAAACGTTTGTGGTCGGTCAGATTTTTTTAAATGTTTTTGTAGAATACCTCTTATGCTCACCAAAGCTGCATTTGATCAAAATAAAAACAGTAATATTGTAAAATATTATTACAATCAAATAAAAAAATTTCAATTTGTATTATTATTTTTCTATTATTACAATCAAATCAAACAATTTAAATGTCTTTACTGCCATTTTAATCAGCTTGATGCATCCTTGCTGAATAAAAAAACTTTGAATTGTTGTGTACAGTAAGAGTACTGAGCTACATATTAAGAATTTCATGAGAATTATTAAGATTTTTAGAATTTTGGCAAATCTGAGCAAAATTTTAGACATTTTGAGATCTCTTCTGAAACTCCTGTGTGTGATATTATTAGATCTTTTTCTTAGGAAAAACATTTGTTCTACATTCAGTCTCATTACTGCTTAGGAGGAACATTTAAGATTATAAAGAGATTTAATTTGTAATTTTTCTTTGCTATGGGTACACTTCTTCACAGTGTTTTACTGACTTGTGTGGTCTTTTTTTCCCCATGCAGTTACATACACAAATGTCAAATAACAAAGGTTATTTTTGCTAGCAGTGGCCAATGAGAGTTTTCAGACCAAATAAGGGTTTGTCCTCCAGCAGACTGTGTTCTCTCAGTAATGGTTCCCCACTTGGATTTGCTCCAGGGAAAGAAAGAAAGAAAAGGGAGGAAAAAAGAGAGGAAAATTGAGGCAGTCTGACTTTTTAGTAGAATATTAACCATTCCAGGAGTGGCGGATATGTGTGGGTTATTAAAGTGCCTGTTTGTGTGTGTTACCAAGAGTAAGAGATAAGACTCTATTTAAGATAAAAGTGCTTTTGCAACACTTTTAGTTTTAAGTCCGGAAGTTCTTCATTCGTAGTGATTAACAGAGATGGTTCATAAGAGGTTCCTGAAATATTTTGTCATCTTGCAAGTGCATATCAGATCTCCAGAGGAAGGGCTCTGCAAAGCACAACTGATCTTGTGCAACCATATCGGTATGTAATGTAGACGGTACATCTTTTGTCAAAAGCACAGGGTTCTCACCCACCCAAACACTTACAGACTCAGACATAATATAATATAGCTGGGAGTAATCAGGGATGGGTCCATCTCTTCCTAGATAACATACAGCTGCACAGCGTGTACATATCTGGCAATGAATAAAGTTCATTGGAGGAGGTATTTTCTGTACAGATGTTCCATTTATTTAAGCAGTTTCTAAAAATAAATAATAATTTAAAAAGACAGTGGTTTTCAGTCAGTGAAAAGATTCAAATTCAGCCTCAAGGCACTGTTGCTATTGTTAACTACAACTAAAACTATTGTCTTTTCCATTGCTTGTAATACATCTGAAATAAAATAAGATGACAATGAATTAGAATTTTTGAAATTATAAATGTTGCCTTTGGAAATAATTGAATAAAACTATTCAAAACAACAAGAACAAAAGCTGAATAAATGTGTAAAACTAAAAATTAAAACTGAAAATATAAAAATAAAAGCTAATTTAAATTATCAATAAACACTTTAATAGTATTGAAATACTAAAATAGCACTGTCTCAAGGTTGATTGGTTTGGCTGCTTGAATTTCCTTTAGCGCAGATTTGCATTGGCTTATCGTGGGTGATGAATGAACAAGATGATGTTCTCCCTGCTTTACTAAGCATTTCACAATAACCAGGAGTATAATCCATTTAATCATAATGACTTGCACTACTGTTTTGAGTTTTGAGCCCATAGGGAAAATGAAAGATTTCACTTATTAACTCAGAATGAAAATGAGGGGGGAAAACACTAAACAGCCTCAGAATGAAAATGAAATGTTTCAGTCACTATCTGTTTAGAAATAAATGAAACATTTAAGTGACTGCCTCTAATAAATAAAAGTTTGGGTTAGATTTCAGTGACTGCCTTAAAAACGATGGGAGATAAATCTAAACTAGGCTTTGAGACTTGTCACTGAGAATTAGCTAAAGCAGGGCTCCACTAAGAGATCCGTACTAAATCTCTATACACGGGTACCAACAGCCATTTTGTGTGTACTTGTGTGAAAGAGAAAGAGTGTGCAGGCAGTAACAATATACTACAATAGTCATTTCAACAATTCATAAATTCTTTGCAACACTTAAAAGCGCTTCATGTGCTTCTAAGCAATCACTCAATTAACTCATAACCTTTATCACAGGTTGCAACCATAGCTACTTGCGTTGTTTATATTTGAACAAGGTTTCCATGAACGCTTCGTTGAATCTGGAGTTTAATTGTTATCACCGGTGACCTCTATTATTCGTTTTTCATTTTTTGCCCAAACCGTCACGCCTGACGATAAAGCAGTTAAATATACAGCAGGCCAAACCTCAGTAATTACATGCTCAGAAACAGCAGAGCCCTGTGCTGGCGTGTCTACAAAGCTGCCCTGCAAAAAAAATAGGACCTGTGGGAAGAAGCAGAATAAACTTGTTTGTTGGTTCGCTGGTAGATCGGTGAAGAGCACATCTGCAGGCTTGGAGTTTGATTGTTTATTTCTCAGCTGACATTTTTGTCTGCTTGGTCACAAAAGCACCTTGGTTGATATTGATTGGTTGGTTTAGTTGTTTGTGTGTGTGTGAGGTAACTAAGGGCTTTGATGAGAGTTTTTTTTTTTTTTTGGCAACAGTAAACAGGTTTTAGTGCTGCTTTTGTGTTTCATTGAAGGGAACATGTCATGGAAAACAGGATTTTCCTTGATCTTTTGAAAAGAGTTTAATGTACTATATAGACACTTGAATGTGCACAACACAAAGCCTCCACACCAGTACAATAAGAACATTTCTAGAAAATAAGCTGCAAAACAACTAATTCAAAAAAATAGACATAACTATAACCTCTATATTTGATATATAAGCACATTTGCATAATGTGCACAATGCTATTTAAATTAAATTAATTAATTTATCCATCCATCCATCGGTTATCTCTTATTTATGTATGTATGTATGCATGTATGTATGTGTTATATGTGGATGGATGGACAGATGCATGGATGGATAGATTATTGGATAGATATTAGGTAATTTATTGAAATGTCTATTTATGTGTTTACCTCTCTCTCTCCCTCTCTCTCTCTATATATACACACACACACACACACACATATATATATATATGTGTGTGTGTGTGTGTGTGTGTGTGTGTGTGTGTGTGTGTGTGTGTGTGTGTGTATATACACTCACAAACACACAGGACTTCAGGTAAAAGACAGTCAGGCAATAAAGAATATGCAGAATACAGCTGCCTTAAAACTCCAGCTCATAACATCTGAAGACTGTAATTTTCTCTGACACCTGTGCGCCACAGCCACCCTCAACAAAACGCACTAGAATTTTCCAGGGAAGATACCTGGCAGAGAAACAAGGATCCCTATTGAATTAGTGTTTTGTCCTAGAGCTGCATTCAGAGGCGCTGTGAGCGCAGATTTGTTCAGCGAGTGTAGCTGAGGATAATGACACGCACTGCAGGTGAACGGATTGTTCCCGTCTTTGAGTCAGGTCACGCAAA